TGAAATATTTGCTTGTGGACACTTATGAGAGATATTCGGTCTGTAGTGGATAATTTTGACCCTTTGTTGTGTAACCGTTCAGAGCTTGCAAAGTCTCTTTGTAATTTGCATTGTCTATGTAGTGTTTTCTGAAATGTTTGCTTGTGGATCCCGAGTAAGGCGCTTTCTTTAACCCGTTTTCTTTTTTGTAGGTTCTAAGAGACCATGGGAGGTTTCGGAGAGGTTGACATTTGCGGACGGACACGCAAGGGTGCCGCACGACAAGGCAAAACTAGCTAAGTCCGTGATAGATAGTATCAGAGCGGGACAAGTACTTATAGAAACACTTGACGTGCAAACGTGCGGGGACCTAGCGGGGCTACGTTGAGGGCAGCCAACATGTGTAATCGTTTGGGGGAAAACAGATATGAAGATGTAGGGAAAATGAGTCGCTCGGAGGAGCGGACATATAAGATTGACATTCAGAGGAATGACCAACCTTTCGCGCAAGAGACACCATGAGAACAAGCAAGCTTGAAAGAATACATAGCGCACAAAGGTTGGGATGGCTGAGTTCGAGCTACGGCTCGACGTTGACAACAATACTTGATGGTACTCAAGGCAAGCGAGACATTTAGTAAAGGATGAGACCATATAAGGTGGAATAGGTTGCTCAACAAGTTGTGCAAAGCTCACAGAGGTGAGGGGAATTGCTGACTCGAAGAATTTGATACATGGTCATTCCAAGGCGATCGAAACTCGACGCTATGGAGCATTGGAACTTTCTCTTCGGCGCGATATGTTGGCAGAGGCCATACATGAAGGGATCACAATCCAAGTTCATCCCACAAGGATCAGAATGCAATAGAGATGTCATCAGGAGGCGACATGGTGCAGCGGATCGTGGTGGAACAGTTCGTGGCAATGCGATACACACGAATCTAGTCCCGTGAGGAATTATATCATATGGAGATATGATCGGGAGCTACTGGGAGCTCCACTTCGGTAAACAACATGACGACAAGAAGGGCTATGAATTCAAAGAGTGAAAGCCATGGTACCGTAGAGGCGGGTTTTCCGTGCGTGCATCGAATTTTGCATTGGATGAAAGCATTGGTCATCAACATATGGGGGCTATGTACCACCGAGGGAAAAGTTCGAATGCAAGTACCAAGTGAGTCTCATGGGAGGGACTTAATCATGCAGAGGTATTATCGAAGCAACTGGAGAGTTGGACTGCTCCAGAGCCCATATTTACTTAAGGGAGCCCGGCAAGTCAGAGAACAAGGCCGAGTAAGCGAACGTTGCTACCAAGGAAGCTAAGGAGAACAGAATTGATGTAAACCCTACAACATGATGGCAAAGACCATGCATGAGAATTGCAGTCCGTCTTTCTATCGACCAACGAAAACTGCTTGGAGAACACAGAGGTGTTGAAGTTGGGGGTTGAAAGGGGCGAGGAAGCGACAATAAGTCCAGAGGGACTTAGCTACGCAAAACCAAGCATCAGTTAGAATGGAGGTGGACTCGGAGGAGTGCCACAGAGACATATCTATTGATCGTGAAGAAAATGGATGCAGATGCGAGGCGAAGGATAGTAGGGCCATGGTACAGCAGAGGCGGGACTTCCATGAAGTAATTGATCCCTTGCTCTCATGGAGGGAGAGCGTTTGGTTGTGAAAGGGGTCGAGGAGGTGGAGCATGCAGAGGCAAACTCCAAGTACCGAGACAAGGTTGAAGGGCAGAGGCCAAGGAACTTCGTAAGAACAGTGTCAACGAGCTTCTCATCAAGTTAACCAATAATAAAGGACTTCGGGTTATGCAAGAGTATACAACCGAGGAACGAAGCAGGCAGTACGTGGTGCTGTACCTTTGCTACTCAGTGGAGTAGGTGACAGGGTTGATGGAGAAGACAGTACAATCCAAGAGGCGGCCAAAACTATTAGAGACTTACTCCGTTGGGGTAAAAACTTCTTGCAGTCCAGAAGTTCGATGACATTGAGAAGGTGAATCACAGTAGCTAACTCAACGCAAGAAGTGCAAATACTTTGAGTGCTTCAGAAGTGTGAGCAAAGAGCAGGCGAAGGTCAGTAACCAGCTCGATGCATTGAATATAACTCTCGAGGAGGCGGGCGAAGTCAAGTAACTATCGCCTTCTCAACTCTTAAGAGAATGGGCGAAACCGAGTACCCTAACTCTCTTATCTATCTAGTAGAGGAGCTCTACACAGGTTCAAAGACCCTTCAAAGATAATGGAAGACAATGATTGTCAAATCCTCACCAATGGTGATCAGTGCTACTGAGAGTAGATTATCAGCTTCATTTTCCAACAGAATGTCAATCGAAAGCAGAAGTGATGCAAATCTACTTGAAAGTGACAGCTAAGTCAAGGAAGAGTCGATGGACAAATTTTGTGGAGGAAGGACCCAAAACTTCAAAAGTTTGCGAGGCGAGGCTCGTTAAAGCTCCAACAAGTATCCACCTAGTTCAAGCAGCATAAAGTATTTGAGAGACTAGCGCATAGTAAGGATGGTCTTTTCCTTCATTTGAAGGATCCGCAGGAACCAACAGGGATCAACACAACTCAGCCAACCTCACACTAGAGTCAGAGTCATTGGCAAGTTGAAGCAGCATAGTAGATCAAAAGTTTGACTACTCAACAACAGCAGCGGAGAGCAGTTGGGAGCCAAGAGACGCATTGCAGCTAGAGCAGAAGATTGAAGACTCAGCAAAGGCGAGGAGTTGCAGTGTCGGCAAAGGCTTCGACGAGGACGTTGAAGGAATAAGTGGGGGATAATGTCACGAACGAAATTCTAAACAGGATGTTTGATGTAATGCTTATGTATGTCCGTGTCTTTTGGTTTGTTCATACTTTGCACAACATGTAGAGGGACGGTCGAAGGCTTAACAACCCCATTTTAGTTAGGTTTGGTGGTTGTTTTAGGCTTGTAAATAAAGGTTGTGTCATGTGGACACTTGTAAGAGATATTCGGTCTGTAGTGGACCATTTTGACCCTTTTTTGTGCAACCGTTCAGAACTTACAAAGTCTCTTTATAATTTGTATTGTTTATGTAGTGTTTTCTAAAATGTCTGCTTGTGGATCCCGAGTAAGGTGCTTTCTCTAACCCGTTTTCTCTTTTGTAGGTCTTAAGGGATCATGAGAGGTTTTGGGGAGGCTACCTTTACGGACGGACACGCAAGGGTGTTGCACGACTAGGCAAAATCAGCTAAATCCGTGACAGTGAGGTTGATTATAAAGATTTGGCCTTTGATAGAAGTTAATTTGTTTGAGAAAATATTTTAGAATCATGTATTGTTGAGACCACACAGTTTCATCTAGCAATAAGTTGGAATGTTTTGTTATATTTTAAACGTCAATAGCATTATGTTTTGTGTAATTATAGAGCTTTTGTTGTCCACCACCCCCGTGATATCAATATTTTGTCAAATCATGTATTGGTATGCATCTGTATACATATATTTTAAACCCAGATATTTATAATTTAGAATGAGATTAAAATATTTAACATGCTTTATTGTTTTTTCATCATAATTCCTGGTTGTTGTGAGAACCATTTTAGATCTGGTGACAAACAAGCTTCAAATTGTTTCGATTGTCAATTCTATAGCATCTGCAGAATTTGGGTCTTCTACTTGTAATCTTTTCCAACAGGACGATGTATAAACATAACTTGATAAGTATTCTAGTGTGCTTTCTACTTATGGTTATGGGCCTGATAAATGCAATGTGTTCCAGTATCTTGTATGAAGCTATAATGTTATGTCAACCGAAATTTAGATACATGCAAGTATTTGACCTGGTTTTGGATTCAATTCAGGATCCTGCACCATGCAGCCATTGTATTCTCCCGCTGTCAATTGTAATCTGGAATTCTCTCTGCTTGGATCAGGCCAGAGGGTTCAAGTCTCTATCCAATACCTTCCTAAGCTTTTTTCTCAGCACTTGAAAGGACCTTGATCAGAAACTTGAGCACCTGCTGTATTAAACTATGCTCCTCCAGAAGGCATGCCGGCACCATGTCCTAGTAATGTTGGTTCTCAATCTACTTCATCAGTCTATATACATTCTTCTCAGTATTCTGTACTTCCACATCCTGCAATGTCATTCGTTCAACCCCATGAGCACATTTAATCTTTTGCACAGTTATTTATTTCACTTCCATTATCATTCTTGATACTTGGACTAAGATGTCAAAGATTCTGTTCATTTTATAGCCAATCAACTTATATGTATTTCTTTTAACTGATCAAATATAGCTATACTCTTGTTTTACATATCAGGAGCATCCTATTAATGTTTGTACTGTAGCTAATACCTTTGGTAATTCAGTCCTGCATTTTGAAATAAAATCTAAAAGATTCATGAGAATGAACTGATGCCATTTGTTACTGACATAAAAAAAGGAATACCATGGGGTGCTCATGAAACTTATATTCGGTACTTTTATTGGACCAAATATAATCTACACTTGTGTGCAATTCAAGAACACCTTTAGCCCTTCAACTTTGATATACAAGAATGAAGAACTGGTATCCTTATAAGCAACTCGAGCTTTCAATTTTGTTGTTCCCTTGTACTAAGGATGTGCCGATATAATTATTGATCTCTCAAGTTGCTGATTATTCGAGAAATACAAGTGATTCGGTGTGGATAAAGCTTTCCACCCTTTGTGCTGTCTAAAAACTTCTTCGTCCTCATTGTTGTTTGTCATCTGTGTTTGGATGTCTGGCAAAACTTTGATGTTATATAGTCAAGTGTTCTTTTAATGATCTTTCTGCTTCTGTTTGGTATTACTTATTCCAACGCGGGCTTTTTGGCAGAATCATCAGTAGCACCCACTAAGGGCCCTGGGCATGCCTGCAGCTGCCACTGGGAATTCTGAGATCTGAAATGTGGATGCTGCAGGTGCGACATTAATCGTTTGCTGGAAGGAGAGCTGCAGGCATTGGAAACGAGTATATCTGGCATGTATCAGAAAATATTCCTTTTTAGCCGGCTCCTGGTGATTTTGCAGAATTAATGATGCTTCTTGCACCACAGATCCAAGAGCAGCATCTCGTTCCATGAGTTCTGAACCCTTCTACGGCCTCCAGATACCTTGTATTGCTGGTGCAGACGGGAAAGCATATTAAAACTAACATGTGATTACTTGGTTAGGCTTAAGATTAAATAAGGAACACAATTGTTCTTTCTTGTGGGTTCCTTCATAAGTTGAATGTGACATCTCTAATAATATGGTTTTGCATATTTTTTGATGCAGCAGTAGTACCTCAAGCGGTGGGCTTTTCCAAAAAGTATTACCATGACAGCAATCTCCCGATCTCCGAGGGACGTCTCCTTCGAATCCACAAAACGAGAATTTAGGTGATTTTTCTCATCAAACTATTATTCTTTCATGGTTAGATTTTATTGTCCTGTGATGTTCCATATGATGTCTTGTTAACACTATAACCGGTTTTCTGGGCAAATAATTAGGTCGCTTTTCTTGTCATTTGTTGGGTTTACATTTCTTTTTTTGGTGCCGGCTTTATTCTTCATGTTGTCATGCTCATTATTGTGCATTCTACCTTGAAACGCAATTACTTTTTACAACGTGAGTTGCTAGTGCGTCCTCTGAATAAACTACAAAGCTGATCTCAATGTTCCACAATAGATTGAAAACTCCTGAAACAAAATAATGAACGAACGTTCTCAAAGGGTCAATCATGGGGAACAAGTCCAAAGAAACCCAAAACAAATCTTGTCGCCATTCCCACTGGTCACTTTACCAAATTCCGTGTTCCCTGTAGTACCTTTTCCGATCTATACCAGATTTGCTGCCCCACCTTGCAAGTGCACCTGTGAGTTCAGTGTTCGACCTTTCAAAATTATCTCTTGGAACTCTTAATATTTTTTGCTTGGAATTTTCAAAAGTCATGTGATTCAATCCTTTGATTAGATTTTTTACCGAATTTTTTTAGTGGTTCAATCAGAATATGAGGAACACGCGTGCCTTGTCATGGTTAGGGCTGTAAACATAATTTGCTGTTCATGAAGAGTTCAAACTTATGCTCGTATCTGACTTGGTCTGGCTTATTCGAGATTGTACCGTAGCAAACTCAAACCAGATTTTAATGTTCATTTCATTAATACGTCAAACTCGAACATTAGCTGGTTTTATTATATTCAGCTTCACAAGATCCTAATTTGAAATATATGATTATGTATGGTCATATTTATGGATATATATATATTTTTTTGTCACCTAGATTAGATCATTAGGTGTAGATCTTTTGGATATAAAATTTTCTGTCACTAGATACACTATGATTTAACTATCAAGATGTTGCTGCTGTTGTATTATATTTCCTTTTTCTCTTTGTCCAGTAGTATTCTTCCTTTTTGTTTGGCTATTCTCGCAAGTCTTTGAATTATACAAACCTTATAAGTTCTAGTCAATCACAAATGACTATGTCTACTTCTGGTCACATCATGTCATCATGCAGCTTGTGACATTCCGGGTTTCTATTTTATGTAATTTTTTGAATAATTTCATAATTTGGTTTTCATGTTTTTTTCTAGGATTTGATTCTTTTGGTTTATGCTTCACTTCTTTTTCTAACTAAATGGTAGGATTTAAAGGGGGAGAAATGGTGAAGCTTTTATGTGAACACTCCCTCCATCTTAGGGATGTCATCTGAGTTAGATAAAAGAATAGGGATTTGAGTCAGGTTCAGATCTGGGTCAAATATCTAAATTGCCAGTCAAATTCATGTTCGAATTCGAGTACCGATTGTTGATCACAATTGTAGAAGTAGGGTTCGGTGTCTGATCCACTTAAATCGAGTTTAAGTAGATACCTCAGTCATTCTAATTTTAGCTTAGGTGACATTTATTGGTATCAACTCCCGGTCATCTCTACCATGCGTGGTGGGGATTTTGTGTAAGGACGGCATCCTTGTATCTCAAGGATGTGCCCTAGTCAGACAATCTTCTGTGGATCTCATATTCTTTTAGTCTCTTCACTGCACCATTCGATCCTACCGACAACACCAGAGGAAAATCTAAGAGAGGTATAGACAAACAAAGAGGAACAAGACTTTGGGAGGCCTGAGTATGGCCTCCCTTTCTCACCGTGTCTTCCCGACAAGGCTTGGTGGTGGTCGGAAATGTTCCCCCAAGCATTTCCTTCCTTTTCTTGGCTTCAGGGGTGTTTTCCCACTCTTCTTACCTGAGTCGTTTGTTTCTGAGCATGCTATGTTCATCATTGAACTCTTATAAACCATGCCTTCTCTCCTGAATGGTAGTAGTGTGTGCACGTGTTTAAATAGAAAGTCAACTTGATTAATTGAACTTTGCTAATATGTGCACAAGTTTAAACTTGTTCTTTCCTGCTAATTTTGTCATCATCAGGGACAGACATATAGGTTTTGGTATCTAGTTACTTTTGCATGGTTTTTCGTTGAAATAAGCAACGTAAGTGCAAAGGGAGATTACATTTCCATTCTACAGTTGCCATTTGCAGAATTTCTTAAGGCTTGGACTAGTTTAGGTGTAAAGAGCAGAAGTCATAGACAAGTTAGTGAGACGTTGCTGACAATGTTCTCCTTAGCTGGTGGCCGAAATAAAATAGTTGTTGATGACAAAGAATTGATGTTGACATGAACCTGTGGATGGAGTTATATTCCTTATGGTAGAACAACTTATGAATTACTTCGGACCAGAGAGGGAAAGAAAAGGTGAAGCACTGTTTTTTTCCTACTAGGTTTTATAGACCTAATGTATGTCATCTGATTTTTTCAATTCCTATTAATGTGAGATTATTATGTACTGCTCTTTCAATCTTTATCTTCCGTGTATAAGCTATTGACATATGAACATTTTATAGTTTTGGAGGAACATGTTCCGATTCAAACTTAATATTCTCCATTAGCAAAGAAGAAGAGTATTCTGACAGGACAAAAGCCCTCTTTTCTTTCAATGTGGAGAAGAAGAAGAAGAGGAGAGAGAGAGAAAGTAAAGAGACGATGCAGTCTGGACGGCCCATCTACTGCAGGTAAAAGTAAAACCATACATAGTCTCAAACCTCCATTTCCTCTTCCCTCTTCCCTCTTCCAGGGCACAAGGGCAGAACTTTGTCACATAGGGAGAGAAGCAACTAAAAGAGACGGTGCCCGGTGGCAGATGCACAGTTGAGTACCAGCGAGTTGATATGCTCCTGTAACAGCCTCCAAGGCACAAAAGACACTGGCGAAGATGTTGAGGGGGAGAGAGATAAAACAATGGCGAAGCAAGCACTCGGCAGAACAAGTGGGCAAGTACACTCTGTCCTCCATGGTCGACACGTAGGGAAACCAGGAGGAGAAACAAACACAGCAATTGGCACATCCGCTGCTGCTCCCCCGTCAACAATCTCCTCAATCACACTCCACTCCCGTTGGAGACAGCCATGACAAAATCAACCATCATCGTCATCATCAAGCAGCAGCGGCTTATTTGGCAGACAAACGAACACATGCGATGGGCGGCAATGACACAGTGCGCAGGGAGGAATAACATCAGCGCCTGCGTGCGGCGGTCTCCCTCTGGGCGTTGAAGTAGACGGCCGCGACGGGGAGGTCGAGGTCGTTCTCCTGCGCGAAGCCGCGGGTGCTGAAGCGGTCCCTCGATGGCGGCGCTGCGGCCACCGACTGCCGCCGCTTCTGCTTGAACAGGACGAAGACGAAACGATGGATGCCGATGCTGGGCCGCGGGCTCTCGTAGCTCACCACCTCCTTCCCTGCTCACACCACCGCATCAACACACACGCGTTAGGCCTCATGTCAAACACAGCAGAGCGCAGAGGGGACGACCCACCGAAAGACGCATCCGTCGTGCCGGGGATATCAGTCACCACCCTGCATGCAAATCCACCACGTAAGCAAGCCATATCTATGCACCAGATTCATCTATGTCTTAGTAATTAGATTCAGGTTCATGTGCGTCTGCTATGTGCTAATGTGCACAGGCATTTTTGGATTGTCCTCGATGCCTGCTGACGCATAAGCACAGGAAATGCAGCACACGTGAACAGTTCCATCTCACTTTGCTCGAATCACTGTTCGATCGCTTCTCTGCTAAATGAATAGTGCGTCGTGTGATTGTTTTACCAGTGAACATGCTCCCGTAGGTAAGGATCGCTGGGGCCGGGCGCGTCTGGGTCTGTCATCACCTGCGACAGCAGAAGCAACTGCTGAAGATGATGCATCAACTATGGAGAAGAGCAGCTATGGCTCCGTACGCACGTACCAGCGTGAAGAAGGACCTCATCTCGCCGCCTTGGACCTCCACTCTGGGCTTGGAGACGACGGCGGAGGGGAATAACTCATGGCCATTGTAGACGAGCTTGTTGGAGTTGTAGGTCACCATCATCTTCACGCTGGGGTTGAACGAGTCGATGACTTCTCCGATCACCCTCCCTACCGTCAGTGGGTCCGACGACAGCCTCGCCATGCCAGAAGGAGGAGAATGTGGAAGGCAGCAGTTGTGGGTGAGAAGGGAATGCTTTGGCAAGGAGATGGCTCCTCTATTTATAGTGCTCAAGGGAGTATCTCATCTGTCACTGCCTGTGATCAGCTCTGCTGGTGGGGACGCCCCTTCCTGGGTTCCATCCATGGATGGCGCCACTGCGCATGTCTCGACCCAAGTGGCAACCCTAACACAGACTGAGGATAAAAGGAATGGTAAGTCTTCAGAATAGAGCTTCCTTTCTCTCTCTACCATTGTAGCAAAACCTGCCTTCAAGTTCTCAACAAAGATAGAGAACACCTGCTTAGTGTAAAGGGTCATTTCTTTCCATTCTTTTTCTTCAAATGGGTGTACTAAGGAACCCTCTTCTTCTTCAGATGGGAGCACACCTTTTTCTATTAAGGCAAAGAGATGGGAGGGAGAACGTGAGGATGGTGATGCTCTGACCTCCCCAAGCTTCATTTCCATGGGAGGAAGTTGCCGTAACTGGCTATATTCTCTGCAGGAGTAGAAGGAATAAAGACGAGGGATAGACACACTCTTTCACAAAGCAATGGCAGTAGTGCTATGGTGCCATCTCATGCAAAGTGATCCTGTGGTCCTTAATCAGGTAAAACAAGGCATAAGTTCTCATTACTGGTTGAGCACACTGCACATGCACACCTTTGCGGGGACTTTCCTCCACCCAAGCTGCAATTTTTATGCCCTACATAATGAACCCAAAGTTAGAGAAGATGAAGCAAATACATATTTTCTTTGTTAGCTTCACAAGCCAAATGTAAAAACCTGGAAAACCCTAGCAGCAGGAAGGCATTGAGGAAGTTATTTGGATTGACTTTTAAAGATTTGATGATAGTGAAAATATAATTTAGTTGTTGATGAAGTAATAATCTTATCTGATGGAGTGATAGATAGAAAAAAAAAAGTATGAATATTGTGGATGAAGTAAACCAAAGTACACAATGGGCACTTTTCATGAGACAAACTCATGTAGCACAACATCTGATTGACTTTGTTCATGGTGTCAGGTTGTGCCATTGCTCAAGTGGGTAAATGTTGGGTGCTCACCAGATCATGGTGGGGAAGAAGGGAGACACTGAGATGTGCAGGTCACACATTGTCCACTATGGCAACTCCCAAGCACCCAATAAGCACATCTGCAGCAGCGTTACCGGTCAATAGCAAATGGTCCAATCCACTCATTGCATCCCATCTGCACACTAAATTTGGTTCTGATTCAGGCCAGGCAAGGGTTGACCCACTCTTCAGATATGAACCCAACTCAATTGCACATGTTCATATAACAGGGAAAAATCCCATCTCAGGACAAAAATAATAATAATTGTGGATATTTGAGTTCTCATACATATGATGTATTCAAATATCAAAATGTCATTTTTCTTTCACCTAGACACTGTACATGATATGCATGTCCATATAAAAATTTCATGGTAAATATTAGGCAAAATTACTTGGATTAAATAATAATATATGATGCACACAGGACAAATTGCCCCAAAAATATGATAATTTAATTAGATAAATATTTTCACTGTTGGTAACAATACCTTTAGCTATATATAGCTATAAAATAATTTTTCAAATATGAATTTCCTTTTTTATTTTATTTTGAAATATAATTTTACATGGTTGGTAGAGATTTCATTTATACTTCTCACGGAGTTGTATATGGAGATGGGCCATGAGGAGGCCCATGAAGCCCAGAAAGGCTTACCGAATGGTGATTTGCTTCGATCTACAGTTTGTATTGGTGAGATGTCCCAACAGTTAGCTTATTATTTGAAATCTAATATGATAAAGAAAAAGTAAATTAATATCTAAAAATATATACTAATTAAATTCAACCAATTTATAATTCGACGAGCCATTTTATCGATCCGACCCGACCCGACCCGAGTTGGCTAGCGGCACGTGCGAGGCACAAGATCTCCGGAGTTTTCCTCGCTGCTGCGCTGGGGTGCTCTTCTCTCGCCACGTGTCCGGTACGTGTCGATGGTCAAGACAGCCTCCCGCCCCGTTACTAATTCCAATTCTTGGCTCATTTAATGGGGGACCGGCATTTAAACCCGGCCGCTACCGGAGTGGGCCCGGATTTCCTACCCAGCAGAGAGATAACCGCACCCGTGCTTCGTCGGGGCCCACGAAACCCGAAGCACCCGGGTGAACTATTTGAGCGGCCGCAGCCGAGGCTATAAATGCCCGCGGCGGGTTGCGAAACCTCGCGGGTACCAGCCGCAGGGGCGACAGTGGGTCGGTGGCGTTATCTCCGTCCGCGCCGTTATCTCTCCTCCCCCTTTGCCTTTCCCATCTGTTCGATCTCCGTGGAGCTGTCGACGTTGATCATCGCCGAGGTAATCTCGCCTGCTCACTCCCTTTCTCGTTTCTGCTTATCGAGTTTGGATTTTGTGGCCAACCATCTCAAGTTCTTAGGGTTCCGATCCATGGTTGAACCCGTAGGTTTTCGGGGACTCCTTCTCGGTCGGATCTAAAATTGCTCCAAACAAATCCTTTTTCGTTTCCTACGGAAACGCTTTTGAACAAGAGAGAATATACTCTCTTTGTGATGACGCAATTTGATAGCTGAAATCAGGTAAAGTCTTTTTCGTCCTTCCGGTCTCCATTGTGTTTTGGGGTTGGATGAATCAAAAGCGAGGGGACTGGGAGTGGGTGGGCAAGCAAGTGGCAGCTTCTGGATATTTCTCTTCTTTCTAAAAGGGTTAAACAGCTTTTGCTTCCATGGCTTTGCCCGCTTTTCCTGCTTGGAAACAAGCGTTCGGCGGTGGGCGGTTACCGTCTACGTTACCAAACAAGCCTGCAAATAAAAACAAACCAAAGGAATCGAAATGATGTATGGTCCACATGGATGGGCGAGACATGGCTCCATGCACTCGTGGACCCCCATCATGCATGCCTCTGTCTCTACATGTCGGCTCGGGTTGCGGCTTAGATCCATCATCATGAAGACTTTGATGGTTCTCAGATCCATCATCATAAAGCGAGCATTCTTGGTCCATCCAACTTGCTTTAAAAATCGGAAAATCTAGGGAAGATTATGATTGTGCTTGTTTTGAGTCTTGAAATGTCAATGTCAAAGACGTAAAAGCGCAGGATGTATCAGACCATCTGTTCCCAATTCTGGGCTTTGCGCGGCAGAGCCACCGATAGGGATGGTTGGTAGCGCTTGCCGGCGCTCGACGAGGGTCGATGTCCGCTGCTGGGAGGCCTCGCTCTCTCTTGTTGGTGGCTCAGTCATGTCATCCGGCTCGTCCGATCTAATATTCTAATGTTCACCTTCTCTTCATCCAAAGTCGGCTCATCGTCTCAGCTCGGACTGCTTTAGCGCCTCTGATCAAATCCGCTTGTTGAACTGTGTCAGGTTTTGTTCTATCAGATTTCATGTTGTTTCGCCGCCTCGCTGCGTTGCAATGGAAAGTGTTAAGCTTATTAAATATTGAGCTTTACCGAAGACTTCAAATCTTTTATGCATATATTTATTTATGCATTTATGCCCCACTGCTTACGCGTGAGCTGCGAATAGCACCAAATCGCATCGAGAGGAAATCTCGAACCCGGACACCACAAGACATCACCATCACGTGAAGGCCACGCCACAGCCCATGGTCTTTACGAGAGTTAAAACTCCCCCGGTCGCCTTTTCCTCCTTTGGAATCGGACATGCTCTCCCAAACTGCCTTTTTTCGTCCCGTCTTCGGCGTCTCTAGTCGGTGCCGAGCCCTATCTCTTCCGCTAGAGTCCAAAGCACTCAATTTTACTCTCGGAATCCTCAATTGTCTTTTTCTCCTTTACTCCGCCCTTTATTCTCTCATTTCCTTCCACTTTCTTTCTTTCTTTTTGGACACGGTAGTGAAACCGGAGTTCAAAGCTGCTGTTTTGCAAGGGGTGGGGGAGACAGCTCGCGCTCTGGCGGCCATGGCGTCCCTGTCGGAGAGCAGGAACATGACGTTGGAGGATGCGGAGGTGACGTCCGAGCACCGGGGACCGGAGCCGAGCCGTCGCCAGCTCATCCCGCTGGAGGACAGGGACACGGTGGCGGCTAGGGAGCTGGACCTCGGGTTCCCCCTGATGAGGCAGAACACCATCTATTCCCTCACCCTCGACGAGATCCAGAACGCAGTGTGCGAGCCCGGAAAGACGTTCGGCTCCATGAACATGGATGAGTTCCTCACCAACATCTGGAACGTCGAGGAGATCCAGGCCGCCGCAGCTGCAAACAACAACAACGAAGTGCCGATCAACCACCTCGCTGAGAGCACTGCAGGACGGCAAGCGGCGGAGGCTCCGCCACTCCGTCGGCAGGGGTCGCTCACGCTCCCGGCGCCGCTGTCTAGAAAGACGGTGGATGAGGTGTGGGCGGAGATCCACCGGGACGTGGCGCTTCGGTCGCAACACGTGGAGCGGGCTAGCCAGGAGGGCGCCGGGAGCGCCGCTCGCCAGCCGACCTTCGGGGAGATGACTCTCGAGGACTTCCTCATAAAGGCTGGCGTGGTCCGGGAGGGGTACGGCGGCGGACCGCCGGGGGCGCCGTCGCCCCACCAGCAGCCGGTGGCGCCGCCTCCCGCGCCGGCGGCGCAGCAGTACGGGATGGCCGGGTTCGGCCACGTCGTGGGCATGGCGGGGTATGTCGACGAGCAGGGGCTGGGGTCAGCAGCGGGCGTGGGCAACGGGGGCTACTCGGTGGGTAATGGGTTTGGTGGACGGGTGGGGAATGGCTACGCCGCTGCGGCGGCGGTGGGGTCGCCGGCTAGCCCGGTATCCTCGGAGGGGATCGGGGGAGGGCAGGTGGACAACACGGTGGCAGGGTACGTGGCAGACGGGCCGAGGGTTGGCGGCGGCGGAGGGAGGAAACGTCCGACGGACGGGGCAGCGGTGGACAAGGTGGTGGAACGGCGGCAGAGGAGGATGATCAAGAACCGGGAGTCGGCTGCCCGATCTCGCGCCAGGAAGCAGGTACGTACGGTGGCCGTTATATCAATGTACGACGATGATAACATACAAAGAGCCAGGCATGTGAAGGGAATGCAATGTGCACAGGCATACACGGTGGAGCTGGAGGCGGAGCTGAACCAGCTGAAAGAAGATAATGCCCGGCTGCGTGAAGAACAGGTGAGTGCAAGCCTAGCTCACCATCGTTGGTATGCCACCCAAGCTCCCCTACTAAGAGACTCTGTTTTCTCCTTTGGCAGGGAAGAGTGATGGCGTTGAGGAAACAACTGGTAATTTCGTGGAACACGATTCACTCTATTGTCAAAGAATCCATTAGCTTCATCTGTTTTCTTTCCTGTAGCTGCTGGAGTCCATGAGTGAGCAGGCGCGGATAAACGTGCAGAAGGCCGCGAGGAAGCTGCGCCGCTGCAACAGCAGCACTTGGTGATGGCTTTGCCAAGACCCGCTTCCTCCTCTCGTGCACAAGCTGTGAGTTCTAATCCCCTAGCTTTGGTTGGCTTGGTGTCTTGTGCAAAGCGTAGGCAGTGAGAGATACTGTATTATCCTGCAACTTAGTGATGTATTGAGAACACTTCTAATATATAGATATACATAGTTGTCATACTGATGGCCAATTTGCACGTCTGTTGTTGGGGAGTCAACGGTGTCGTCTGCCCCTGCGACGAAGATATATTGATGCAACAGTCGAGTATAAATAAGCTTGCGACGAAATGCATCTATAATTACGGTTCTATAGAATACGCACGAATCGACTACCCAGTTCAGATCCATTAATTATAGATCGTCTTGCATGCATCCACTTAGATCTTAGTACAATATTTTCCGACCGATGATACGATTATGGATTTATCGAGTGTAATTCGTAGATAATGCACCTATTACATAGGATTCATCAACTATCAGGCCAAATTATTTTTTGTTGATTCGCCGTACACCGGGGTGTACTCTGATAATACATCTCGTCGTTAGTCACATGCGTCTCTAATAGCATCATATAAAATTATAGGCAAACTAAGCTTACAACTTGAAGATATTTTTATGCGTAGACTTTTTTTACTATCTACAATTTTATTTTTATTTATTTAATATATTTTTAAAATACCCCTCATTGAATGTAAATGTTCTTTTTTTTCTTCTTGCTTCTCGATCCAACCAACAATGATTCATTATGCGTGAGCGATAATTGTGAGAAGTGAACGACTCCTTTCAGAGCTATCAGCATAATGGGTTTAACTATTTACATGGTCATCGGTACTTGACTACCTCAATACCCCTATGATATTGTGGACTTATTTATTGTGAAGGAGACGGAGAAGAAGAGAGTATTAGTATAACAAAAACTCACAGAGGAGAAAGTCAAGGAATTACGAATGCGAACAATAAAAGGGAGGGCATTACTGGTATCGATAATGAGTCGGAAGATGTCAGGTGAGTATTGATGGAGTCCATAATGAACAAAGAGGCATCGAGTTATTGGAGAGGCATCGCCTTCGATTGTACTTGTGCATGACGTCACGGGGGTGTGTAAGTATAATTGGACTTTCTTTGAATCTTATTATAATTGAACTTCGTTTGTGTTGGTTGATAACTATAATCAGAATCTAATCATATATATAATATATCTTATATAATTATATATAGTCATATAATTTAATATTCTTCCACTTGACTAATTAATTTGTAAGATATAAAAAAATTAAAATCAAAATAAATAAAATAAAAGTTTATCTAAAAATAATTTACATAACTGGATTCTGAAACTTTGAAAAAAATATTTTACATATGCACATAAATTTTATAAAATAAGCTAATAAGTCTAATAAACATAATAATACCACATTAAGTCTAACTTATCAATACGAGTTATAATGATTATATGTTATTAATATCATACTTCCTTCTATATACCACAATATTGTTAGTCCTTCATAATGTAATCCAAAATGACTCATGTAATTTGTCTTATCAAGATAATTATATTATCATATTCAATCATAATATATACATACATAAATATAAATAGGATAATAAAAAAATTTAATTACATAAACAAGAATATCAATTATAATAATCACTCAAACATGTATCACAATATCTTTTATGGGTTACGTACAAACCCAATCATAAGAACATGTTCTTTCAAATATTCTAAACTATAAGTTATTGATAAACGAATAAACAATCAATATAGTGAAACTCAAATTCATAATTAATATTAATTATTTTTAGATTTTTTCTATAGCCATCAAGTATTTTATACTATAATGCCTATAATTGCTAAAGTACTTATTATACTATAATTTTGATTAATGGCCTCAAAGTATATCAAAAAATCAATTTTTATTATTGATAATGTAATAATATATTAGTTAATTTTTTTTCCTATAAATTACCCTTTCAACTAATAAATATAAAACATAAAATATACTTCATGTTATTGAGATAATTTATATAATCAATATTTTAAAATATTATTATTTTAAGTTGATCTATTTTCATATATGTGAGCATATAATCATTTGTCCCTTTCATGTATCTTATTATTTTCTTTATAACATCTTAGTGTTTCATTCTTGGGTAACTCTAATATATACCTAGTATTTCGATCACAAAATTGATATCTAGTCTGGTATAAACTTTAGCATATGAGAGACTTCAACTACATGTATATAAAGAATTTTTTTAATCTATTTTTTTTAATTAATTAAAAAATACTTATTTTGATTGAAATGTTTTACTTTTAGCATTTACTGGATAAAGATTTATACTAAATCTTTCCAAGACTCAATCAATATATTTTTTTTGAGACAGTCCTAACAATTATTAAAATCTATTCCTAAATATCTCAATGCCAATAATATAAGATACCTCATTCATATCAATCTTCTTAAAATTCTTGGTAAATTTTTTTTTGATTTGGTACAATAAACTATGATCACTACTAGTAAGTAAAATATTATCCACATATAGACCAATATAATAAATTTGCTCTTATTCACCTTCAGATATTAACATTGATTAATAATATTTTTCTTCAATCTAAAGAAGACAATAGAATCAAGAAATTTTATACAATTGTGTGGAGGCTTGTTAAGGACATAAATGAATTTATTAAATTTATATATATAATTTTATATTTCTTTTATTTTCTTAGTGAATCGTTTAGATTAATCCATGTAAATCTAGATCTTCATTTAAAAAACTTATTTTCACGTTCATACAAGGTAATTCAAAACCATAATAAGTCGCTAACGTCATTATGATTCTTAATTAGTTTATTTAAAAAGCTAAAGAAATTATTTTATTATGGTCAATACATTCTTTACGAGTAAGATTTTTGACCACAAGTTTGACTTTTATATCGTTTGATATTATCTTTTTAGTCATGCTTATATAACAGACTCTTTTATAGTTATTAAGCAATTTGACGAGTGTTTAGACACCATTATGGTCCATTAAATTTTAACTCTTCTTTTATTATGTCATACTATTTTGTAGAATCATTATCTTTCATAACTTATAAAAATAATAAAGAATTTCTTTAATTCCTATATCATAATATTATTTTTTATAGATATACCACATAATAATAAAAAATAACATGTCTCCTTTTCCTTTGAGATATTCTTAAAGCTATCAATCATGGTTGTTCTACAAGATTATTAGCGATGACATCAACATCATGCATGAGTTTGTCAATATTATTTTATTATTCACTCTCATTAATTATTTCGTTGATTTAAGGAACAACAATGAAAATGATAAATAAGTATTAACATTTATCTCCTCAGTATCAAGTTTAAATTTTGAGATTTCTACTCTTATTGTTTAGCTATTTTCTAAGAATCCTACATTACCATATTTAATTATTTTTGTACTATGACTAGGGTAATAAAATTTGTATCCTTTTGATTTTTTTGAATAAATAATAAAATATCCAGAAATAATCATCATCTAATTTCTTTTCATATGAACTGAAGACCCTTATCTTTGTCATATAATCCTAAATATGTAAATTTTCTATCAATTTATAACTCAAAAGAAGTTAATGGAATTAACTTACAAGAAACTCTATTCAAGATATATATAACCATCCTTAGAGCTTTCCCTTACATTAATTCGGATATAGAGGAATAACCCATCATGCTCTTAACCATATTAATAATAGCATAATTTTGACTTTCAATAATCTTGTTTTACTATAACACATATAGTAAAACATACTAAGCACAAATACCTCAGTTAAAATTTTAACTTTTCTATCTAATTATCTTTTGACTTATATATATACACCTAAATCTATTAATAGCTTGAGACCTTAGATAATCATATTTCAAGTGATAATCTATAAAATAAAATATCTCTCTCCACTAAAATAGAAAACATATAGTGACTCATCGATATAAGCATATATAATCTCAAAGAATTTATAAAACTATATTTCACTCCAATATTTGACTACAAGATCATTATAAATTCAAGATTCATATTAATTCTATATAAACTATTATATAAAATTTAAAAGTTCACTTTTATTGAATTATAAATTTATTAAGTTTGTAACTATCAAAAGAGAAATAATAACATAACAATTCTTTATAAGGAACTCAAATTTCTAGAATTATAGAAACATAACATCAAATGAATAATCTCTTAACATAAGCAATAGGTACCTAACTACTATCGCTTTTACATTAATATGATTCCCTACAATGATGAATTTATCATTTCTTAGCATAAGGGATAAGTACCAACTACTATTGCTTTTGCCTTAAGATGATTTTCTACAATTATAAATATTTTATACTATCTTGGTTCTTGTAATTAGATGAATCTCTATTATTAATAATATAAGTTTGAAACACCATAATCAATCTACAAAGTATTAGAAAAAGACTTCTATAATATTTGATTCCAAAACATAAAAATGTTAGATTTATATCTTTCCTTTTACAGCTAAAATCTTAGTCTCTCTTTATATAGCCTTTCTTACTTAAAAAAATAACATTTTATTACGAAAATTTTTCTTTCATAAGTTTATATAATATTTATAAACTCGTGTGAGTTAAACTTTAACTTTTTTCTATTGTTACCTACTCCCTAAATAGTATCCAAAATATTATAAGTCTTTCCTATTTTAATTTTAATTTTTTTATATACATATACTAGTTAGCTTATTTAAGTTTTACTTAAAGAGAAGAAATATAACTAATAATAAATTATATAAGAAAAAACTCAACTATATTTATGCCCAAAGTTCTTGATGTTACATCTTTGTTAGGAATATTGATGATACAATCTTCAATTCCTCAAATACTATCATATAAATTAATCTTTAAGTTGTAGACTATCATGAAGTCTAAATATTATTAGTAATTATCATAAAATTGAGTCTCTTAGATCTTTCTTAATTATTTATCACAATTAATTATTCCATAAAACTTTTCAATATTTATGTTTGTAATCCTCTTAACTAATCTGATCAAGATCTAAGAAACCTAGAGTAAATTATATATGCTCAAGTTATTTATAATAATTTAATTCAAAAATATATGAATATTTATAAGAATATAATAAAAATATAATTATAATAAAAAAATATAATAT